TAGATGTTCAAATATTAGCGATTACGATGAACTGTATTGTACATATGGATATTTATGTTACCCAACAAACCTAACATACGTAGATTGAAGGTAGTTTTTCCTTAATATGTACATGTGTAAGATTCTGTTTAAAAAAATATTATGTTTTTCTTTTCGAGGGTTTTTTTTTTTTTTTTTTTTTTGGTAACTCTGCTAACAGCTTTTATTTTTCGCTTTAAGTTAGTTAATCGAGAAAAATCAAGTAAGAGAATCTTTACAATCACATTTAGGTCATTATCACTAAAGTAAGGCGTTCGTCGCTCTATATTTTATAAGAAAAATTTGATTGACCCAATATGGCTTAATATCCGCACTGAACAAATCTATCAATCTAATTATGATTGTTTTAGTTGTGTACTGAGATCGAGTATAAATTGTTTGTAAACGTTGTACGTGATTAAGTGAATCAACAATGATCAGCATTATAAGCCGAAGACTAACATCTTTTGTGGTTAGACTATATGCACTTTTGCTCTTCATTCTCCTAATCGCACCTTTGACTAAGCAGTAATAAGTACTTGACCACTTTTTTATTCTTAAACTGTTCTTAGAGGTTCTTAAAGGTCCTGACTATGTAACTCGAACTTAACCTACTCTGCAAAGGTTCTAAACCAAAGGTGTGAAAAGTTGAAAATACTTCTATTATTCATTATTAATTTTTCGTAGACTATTGCCGGCTCCTTTATTGCTACCTATTACAATATAAATGTGGCTTTCAATGGCAAAAAGTTTCCTCAGCTATGCTTTTATTGTTGTAACATTTTTAGTTCTGGCAATCATCCAATCTGAACTTCGCAATTTTGTAGAACACGGAACTTCCCTAATTAAAAGAAGTCCTTCTTCATTAAAACCCTAGCAAATCAAGGTGTAATGATATTCTTGAGATGGAAAACTAGGATTTAAGGTCTTTTCCTGTAGAAAATAGTTATGGGCTATGAAATATTAAGCTATTTGTTAAATTTCATCTACCATTAGTTGGCTCACTAACTTCCTTTCGGCAAGAATAATGACACGTTTGATTATATGCTATTGACAAAACGATTTCGGAAAGTTATACGAACCTTTCAAAAGTCGTACGATTAAAGGCAAAGCAGCGCAATGCTTACTTGTAAATATCAATCTTTTAACCAATCCTTTCGTATTGCCTTACAAAGCAGTCTGCTAATGTAAAAGAAAATAGTTAAATAAATCGCACAAACGGTCGTATTCTGAGCAATATCAAGACATCAGGCATTTTTTCCTTGTGGTTTCCATGGCTTAGCAGCATTATTTTGAAACGAAATTTGTCTTAAAGGGTTTTACTTTGACTATTGATAAGATCTAATTTCATTGATCTGCATACCAAATATGATGAGCTTACAAAACTTATGACCCGAGAACATATTGTATTCTTGTATGATTGGTGGCTGGTCGAAATGTTGAAATTTTGGTTGTGAGCGCTACAAGGTGATGCGTGATAAGCAACGTTGACGTGTTTAAGGCGAAAAAATATCATATATTGCTGACGATATTGCTTTAAATACTCATGATGATATCCACCTTCAGCATTCGAATCTAATTATTATTGCATCTCTTCGATGGGAATATTTTAGCAATGAAAGATCGAAGTTAACGAACGTCAATAAGTTGAGAAACTTTGGATTTAACTTCAATTGTCTGTAGTTTTACCGTCGCGATAACCTCAAATACTACTATATCTACCATGGAAAATATCAAATTTTTAGGAAAAGTGCATAATGAAGGCCGATATTCAAAAAGGTACCAAATGAAATCTTCTGCAGTGAGGGAGTAACCTGCAGAACATCCTGCGGCGGCAATTGTTCTTAACTATTAACAGGTAAAGTGTGGCCCTCGGGTATCTGTGAACCACTTACATGACATCCAAGTGCTTTTAAATTTAAACAAAAACACAAAACAATTTGGCGATTTGGAAAATTATACGAATGAAAGAATGAAGAATGAGACAGGAATGAAGAATGAGACAGGGGGTCTCACCCTGACGATTCCTTTAAGATCTTAGCTAAAATCGGGAAATTTTTGCATATGCTCCTACACACTTACTACATTTTCTAGTCACTATCTCTTTACTTGCACTTTGACTTGGTTTGACTTTACGTTTCCCTATCGATTTTTATATGAAGACAATTCTTCTCGCACAGGCCTAAACTATACTTCATTGCAAAATATCGTATAATACCGATCGTTTGATGTGAATGAAAATTTACGGTTTTCCGGTTTCTTTCGTAGGACGAAAAATGAAATCTAAGTAATTAATTTTCTTACGAGGAACAGAACAACGGAACGGAAAATTCACATTGATAAGAAGAAAAAAAAAGCTACAATTGCTACTTCGCAACACATGTCTATATGTGTAAACGTATAGAACAATTGAGCGCACAACAGCGGAGGATGCGACCACGGATAGTGATTAATTGATTTCGCCTATTTAGTGCCCACACACACACACACACATACATACATACATACACACTATCCAATACATATACACGAGAAAAATAATGCCAAAATAAAAGAGCAAAAGAAATAAAAAAAAAAAAAAGAAAATAGCAACAGGTTCCGCAGTGAGAAAAAATTTCTTGTGTTTGAAATATTTATGTAAACGTTTGAAAATATCAGCGATTTTTTCTCGAATAGAGAAAGAAGTGTGGTAACGTTTTCGAGTTGCGTTCAAAAGAAAACTTTTTTTTTTTTTTTTTTTTAAGCTTTTCATACACTGACTGACTGACATCATCACATGCTTGTATATAAAAAACGTGTAAATACATGCAATATAAGAAGTATGTCCATGTATACCAATGTCCCTGGGATATGTAATGAAATAAAATATGTGCATGCAAGCATGATACAAGCTGCTGCATTTTGCTGTTAAAGACAAAGGAAATGACAGATACATACACCGAACCGAATAACTAAGCAATTTCCAGTTGAATTGCAAGCAAAGCAAGCAAGCAAGCAAGCAAGCAAAGCAAGCAAGCAAAGCAAGCAGGTTTTCTTGTCTGCATATAAAACTCGCATACAAACACGAGATCAAGAGAGGGGATTTGAAGTGAAAAATAGGAATATACGAATGATATATTTTGACAAATGAACCTAAATAACAGGTTGCACTTCACAAACATTTGGTGCGTTTTCTTCTTCATGTCAATCGGTCTTTCGTTCGTTCGTTCGGTTGGTCGGTACCCTTTAATATATACTACTGAAAGCAGGCATGCACATACACAGACATATACACATATGTATATATGTCTGCATTCATCTTCACTAATATTCAGAGATAATTTCAAGTTCCACTGAAGAACTTTTTGATGTACACAACAGACAACCTTGATAAATAATTTATTATTTTCAATTTTGTATTTTTGCTTGAATCGTGTGTTGTTCGCTTATTTAACATTTGAAGTTCAAAATTTTGACTAACAACAAATTTATTCGGACATGTTTCCATCAAATTTGTAATTACTACGCTGCACTACAACACACTCAGGCATGTTCTCTCTTATAAATAAAAACGTGTAAGAATTCATTATATGTATTGGTGTATGTGTTGATGTGTTTTAATAACCAATCACACTGATGTCTATCAGTCTTTTGTTATTGTTGATGAAACTATGTTTAAGAAAATTGTTACAAATGATCGCAAATAACAGATCTTTGCCGCTTCACATGCTGAGCAGTTTTTGTGATTGTGACGATTTGTCTTAATTTTCAAATACAAAATCGGTCTCTCGAAAAATATCGATTTAAAGTAATCAGTAAAAAATGACGAGAAAAAAGCAAAAAACGTGTTATCCTATCTAATGCACATATAAAGCGTACGCAATGTGGAATCACACGCTCTGGCTGTTTAATGGAACAAATAATAGTAAAGCGTTTTCGAATGAAAGTTCAATATCCTTTTCGTCTTTTTAGTGTTTTTTTTTTGTCTTCAAATTTTAAAGGGTCGACTAAAAATCAACGAAAAGGTAACTTAACGCCTCAAGCACTCGAGGTTACCTTCTGGCGACAGGGATATCGTAGTTTGAACATTGAAATCTCTATTCTATACAATCATAATATGGCACATCTGGCAATATAGGATGAATTTCCAAATGACCTTAAACATGGGGTAGAGAATTGTTTAACCAATGGTAGGAAATTGCTTAGTTCTTGACAAGTGGATGTCTTTTGCTAGCGGCTCTCTTTCAACTGGGATAGCTTATGCGGAACTTGTAGTAGTTTCCGTAATAGTTCCCAACGCTTTAGCTTCGAATGCAATCAATTTGGTCAAGAATAGGGATAAATAACTTGTTTGTTGTCCTAGACGCGTTATAAACTTTTCTTCTTCTCTATCCTTAGTTAATATTGTCATTTTTCGTTTGTGGTCTTACGCACTTGTAAGATTTCCCTTTTCTCTGCGCATAGTTAATATCATCACAGCCCATGTAATTGGTTTTTGGGGCAGAGGACTAATAATCTAGCAGCCAAATGTTTTTAATATTTAAAGCTGATCAACTTTTGAATATATTCACGAAAACTTATTTGCTTTGAACGACGTTCTGGAAACACTTTTTTATAACATGAGGGTTTTGGCCATCAATGTTAAAAAGCAAACTATGTATATATATATATATATATATATACAGAATTATATCTACATATGTCCGCACAAATACAAAGGTATGCATAAATGCATACACGAATATACAACATATTAGTAGATTTAGTGAACAAAAATAAGATACCGGCGCCGTCTAGTTATTCGTATACATTTATGTATTTTGCTTTAGTTTTTTTTATTTTTTTATTTTTTCAATGTTTTAAGGGCAATTTGTTCTGATTTCTTTGATTAATGACACTTTTGCATTTCATTCTCTTTTCACACTTTATTTCATTCTCAAATCAATGCATATGCATGCTTGTGTGCATATGTGTTTCTTTCTTTCTTTCTTTCTTTCACTTACCTTGATTGCTGTTACTACTTTTACGTGAGGTTTTCTTTTCTTTCATCCAGGGATACTCTGGCACCGAATCTATACCGTCTTGCGTTTGAGGCACAGCACCCACGGTGTATGCGCCTATTGGTGTGCCGCCGCTACCTAATTTCGGACTCTCCGGACTTAGATGATTAAGAAACTCTGCCATCGATGGCTGCGAATTTATGAAGCCACCTTCACTTGCCATCCAATACGTTGGCTCATTTGTTCGCTTATCACAGTTTGGTCCCATTTTGTTAACAATCATTGCAGCGGTTTGTGGCACTTGTGGCGGTGCCACGGGCACTATTGTTTGACCGGTTTGCACTTGTAGCGCATTTAACGGCGATTCCGATTTAATTTGTGCGCCAATTTGGTTTTCAAATGTGCTGCAAACTTCTTGCATTTTAAATATAGGTTAATTGGTCTCGTTTTTAAATGGGTTTTTCTCTCCTTCCCGTTAACTCTTTTTATGCCTTTTCCTTCTACGAGCACTTGTTTATGCTTTTCAAGAATCTCGTTTTAAATTGCAAGATATTTGAATAGACAGGAGTCACTCATGTGTGTGTGTTTGGAATAAATGTTTCGATGATGAAATTAACCTGCAACAAGTAATAAAATTTATTAAACTAATAGAAATGTAGAGAAAGAGACAAGGGACAACCATCGCTAAAGGGAGATAATCGCTTAACTTAGGCCTTAGTTAGTAAGAGAAGGCAAGCTTTGAAAAGCATTTGAGAAAAGCTATCAAGGTATCGTTCTTGCTTAAGCTCATTTCTGTTCTAAGCACTTGCGACAGCTGATTGCATCCAAGTTTGGGCTGAGATTCCTGCACTTACTCAAGAATAGATTTGCCACATTTCGGCTATACATTTACTCCTATTTTAGGGTTCACATCACAGTCTCAATAAAAGAAAGCGAATGAAGATATATATCGTATCCCAGGGTATTTCGGAGATCTAAAATATTAATACTTTTCCTGCGATTGTGGGTTTGAATTGTATCGATCTCCGACTTTGAAGTATGATACCTACTTATTACGAATGGGTATTGTTACGGGGTAAGCAATAACCGCAGGGATATTTCACAACTACTTTCGTATTTATTTGGATCGCATCGACTGTTTCCGTGAAAAATGATTAATGCTTGCTTATAGACGAAGACGATATAGGAGGTCCATCCTTTAAGGGAGATTTTTCCAATAACAACGAGAATTTTAGAATAACTTTCAACGAGGCTGGCATTTTAACAGGCAAAGAAGAAAAGACGCTGTCGTCAACCTCTTTTTTCAGGAATGCATTTACTTCGTGGGTTATTTGATACCTGCGTTCTTCCGCAGCGGTAGATCATGAACTTTTAAGTCGCACTTCAAGCAATAATATCTTGTAACCACGGAAATATGCGATATTTTCTAAAATTTATTTTCAAAAAAATTTTTTAGAAGTATTTTTGCACTCCTTCCTCCTTCAGATCCGCAGAAAGTCTTTTAGCAGTTGCTCAAAAGTAAAATAAGACCCTAGCAGCCTTCGCAAGAAAACTATACGTTTCAAAAGACACCCTTAGTTGTACCTAACGGAAAGTTTCACTCTCAACCCATTGCATTTAAATTCCAATTGCAAGCTCATAATACCCTTCTCTAGCGAAAACTTTGAAGTTGTTAGAAAACATTTCTTAAGTGCACCAATAAAATAAAGCAACCAGAATAGTTGTGTTTCACTTAACTTAAAATCTTGAAATTATACGCAAAACAATTTCGGATTGAAGTCAAATCTACTCAAAAAAATCTTTTACTGAATGTGTTATGCGAAATCATCTTTCACTGAAAGAAATGCGGAGTAATAAGAAAATATCCTCTTGAGTGCATTAGCAAACATTTATTTCTAATTTCTTCTAAGGCATTTTCATGTCTCCTCATCCCTCCTTAAGTCTGTTTTCTTTTTGCGTTCTTACAAGAATAATGCGCCAATTTACTCTTAAAGCCTTTTGAACTGTAATAATACCAATTGAAAGTAATATGAACGAAAAGCTTGAAAGACGGACTGCTCTAATACTGCTAGGTTATCATTATAATGCGCTGAAGCCATTTACTAATGTCCGTCTTTCCATCCATCGCATATTTAATTCTGTTGTTTGTGTCTTTCAAGTCTTATGCAAGTGGATATCTTTATTAGGAGGCAGCTATCGTTTTAGGATTTTATGATTCTGGTATTTTTGCTTAGTCGTATAAAAAATCTCTTCGCTCGACAAACATAAATTGATTGACTTTAGTCATAATTTTCGAAAATTTCGGATATCGTTCCTTGCGTCGATAAGTAAAATAAGTTTCACTTAAGTGAAACCGTTTTTTGTTTCAACTTTGTCCGAGAGTACGACGATGTCCCATGGATTATAAGAAATAAACATTTAGAAGTCGAAACCGGAAATGTTTGTTTTTCTTGCGATACTTACCCTTCTATATTGTTTTGCTTATAATCCCTTTTTACGAGAACAAATTTTCCAAATTCACTTTTATCACTAAAACGGAAATCTTATTCTTTTTCAAGCACATTTGGAACGATCACTACTCTTTATTCATTATCATATGCACATATAACATATATGCGAATTTTTTCTTTTATTTTTTTAAACTTTTTTTTTCTTTGTATTGTATTCTTTATGTATTCTGTTAGCTTTTCACTGCATATCTTGCATTCAATTTCAAAAAACGGGAACTAGATCTGGACTTTACTATAAAATGACCAATCAAACGACCGACGAAACACTTTCGAATAGCGTTGTTGTTTACTCAAGCGAGACCATTTGAAATGGTTGAATCCACAATGGCACCCATGGTGACGATGACAACTATAAGCGCCAAAACAATAAATAAGCAAACAAAAAAAAAAAAAAAGAAGAAAAAAAAAATGTGTGGAAAAAAACAACTTTGCCCTCAACGCAGAAATGCGGTTGTGTCTCCAAAATGTATTTATGTGTATAGAGGTGGAATGCGTAAAAACTGGTTTTTTAGTTCATATCGAATGCATTTTTATGCTTTCCCAAGAAAGTGGAGAGTTATGGTGCCATTCGTTAGTTTACAAAATGAAAAAAAAAAACAAAAAAAACAATAAACAACAAAACAAAAAAAATGCAAACAAATTCGACTGTTTCCAAAGGCGACAAAACAGCAAACAACAGAACTTTTATGCGAATATTAGTGCACGCGTATGTACATAAATAATATGTTTGTGTATCTGGCCGTGATTATACTTGCTAAGACTGCAGCATAATAACATACATATACAGTTGTATTCCATTCACCAGCTCACTCACTCGTTCGCCATCAATGGACTTATCAACGAAGCATTTCGCACTCTTTCTCTCCCATAATTAGATTGTTTAAGTGTTGTGTTTAGAAGCGTGGAACCGGTTTTCATTAGATTCTCTCATAATACATACTGCACTAGTAGTAGATCTTATGTGTGCGCTTTTTCTAAAACTTCAATCTTTCTTCTGTTCTCTGATACACTTAATATTATTTTTTTCTATTTATTTTAAAAAGTAGAAAATTTTTTTCAAAAATTATTGCATTTTTTAAAAAAAACATTATTTTATTTCAAATGTGTGTCTTTCTTCCCGATAATAAAATGTTAAAATTTTTTTTTTTTTGTTTTTTCGCCGTTTAATAAATAATATGCTAGAGTCGTACGTAAATAGCTCGAAATATTTATTCGAACCTTAATGCCAACAACTTGACCAATTGTACCGAACTAACTAAACTAAATGTATAAACAATGAATTCAATGTATCGCCGCAGCCAACAGCCCTTATAATACTAAAAGTGCTAACACAACAACAGCATTTAAAGAAACAACAATGACTGTTGACGAGGTGTGGCTTTGTGACAGTGGCCATCCATCACATAAATGCCACAATTGTGTTTTGATGGACATGCGCCTTATCCGCCATGCGTGCTATGTTATGCATAGCAAACAGAGAGGTGGAGTTTTTATACTAATACTATTTTAAAAAGTGTATACGCTTACAGTGTTTGCGGTGTTGGTAAACAACTCTCCACAGATCCTATTGGTTGTCGTTTTTGTAGCTTTGTCGCTAATTTAAAAACTTTTGCTACGCTTTTGCTATATGATGTACTTACTTGTATCAGAATATTTGAGCTTCTGTGTAGATAAGCGTTATAATATGTGTGCATGTGTGCATGTGTGCATGTGTGTGTGTGTGTGTGTGTGTTTGCATCTATCGGTATTTCAAACTTTTAAAAATATTTATTTTTTATTAAATTTTTTCTAAATTTTTTCCTTGATAGTATTATATTATAGTAGTGTCGCTGTTTTTAATTTTATTCTCTACTTTTTTCTTTTATCTTTTATTTGGCAAAATTTTCCAAGAGTTTCTTCATCGTTTTTGTGTGCATATTATTTGGCTGAAGTGTCCGTCACAATTTGTTTGATTTTTTTTTTGTTTTTTTTTAAGTTTTTTCTATGTGTAAAGTTTTTATTATTTGTTTGCTTTTCTCATTGTTTATTTTCCCATCGTACTGTCAATCATTCGATGGCTGCGTTTCTTGCATTATTACTGTACATCGACCATTATTGCTGCGGGCTTGGGCCGTTGTCTTACATCTTACATCTTTTTTTTTGTTGTTTGACTTTCCACTCCCTCTTCCTCTTTCTGCCTTTCTCTCTTCGCTCATTATATTTTATAACTTCCGTTGCATTTCTTTAAGCATCGTTTTGCAAGAGATGCAATCCACCTTGCCAAGCCAAGCAACCAACCAGTTATTCATTCAATGCTTTTATATGCATCTACATACACATAGGTAGCTTCTGTGCTGTCTTCTTTTTAACTGCAACGCAGCTAAAGTCAAATCTCTAACGTCTTGAAAGCAACACAATAAACTGACACATTTTCAACGCGAAATGACTGACATAAAAACTAAAGAAAAAAAAAACACACACACACACACAAAAAGGTGGTAGAGTTTCGCGTTTACGATAATAAACAAAAACAAAAACAAAACAACGACAAAGTTTACTTTTCAAACTTTCATTAACATTAAAGCGTTGTTGTATTGTTTTTCTTTTTTTTTTTTTTGTTTTTGTTTTTGTATTATTCAGTCTACATATGTGTTATAATTAAAGATTTTATTTATAATCGTAATACATATTTAAAATTCCCATAATAAAGTGGCGGATAGGGTTTTTTTGTTTTTACTTTTTTATATAAGCAAGGAAGTCACTTAACCAATTGTGCTCCTTTAACTGATTACTGTCGATGTTGTACATATTCGGTGAATATTTTAATGAGAGTTTCGGCATGTCATAATTTTTCATACGAGGAGGGAAGGAAACATTTCTAGAATAACTGAAAAACTGAGTAAATTTTAATAACTGTGCACAACATCCTTCC